ACACCAAGTACCAGTCATCCAAGTACCAGTCATCCAAGTACCAGTCATCCAAGTACCAGTCATCCAAGTACCAGTCATCCAAGTACCAGTCATCCAAGTACCAGTCATTCCTCACCTTTACCCTCCATCAGCTTCCCGGGGAGTCGCCGCTACCTGCTGTGAATTTTGGGACTTCCTTGCAATGTCATGACCGAAGCTCTTCTGCTGTTTTCAATCAAGAAGGAATACTATTGGTCCCTATTAAATCTTTAATTCAATCTACCACTCAGCCTTAGCCAGGAGTCTAATGCGGCAAGCCAGGGATCACTCAGTAATTCCAGTGCAGTTTTTTCAGGCACTGTCTGCACACACTCTGGAGAACCGCAGAGTTGGGACTGAGAGGCTTGAAGGCTGATTTCTACTTCCATGTACAATCTACACTATAGGTTACCTCGTACCTTTTCGCTGTAGCCTGACGCGCACCTTCCCAGAAATGTAGCTACAGCATAGATTGTGGCGTAGGGTCTGCAACTATGCAGCTATCTAGACATAGATTCTACGTAGAAATGTGAATCAGCCTTAACAGTCAGTCTCTTGCTGACTGTTTATCATATGGCAAACTGCTGTCAGACTAGATTTCTCTCACATGGTGGCCAGGTGTCCCATTGCATGCTGGGTGGCTGGTGGAGAGGGAATGCGTGTAATTCTACCGTCTGTAATCCGTACAGGCACAACTGTAATGGAGTATCAGCACTGTGCTGCCGTTAAGTTGTCGGCATGTGTGTAGTTGAATATCCTCCTGAGACCCAAGGAAAAAAGTGTCCTTCAATTGTAGGTTATTTGTCTTTGTAAGATGTCTTATTTCCTCCAATTTACATTTTTTCAAATTTATTCTTATTTTAATTTCACAGCCTGTCCTCTTTAGTGCACAACAAGAATAAATACGTTTCCCAACATCAGTGAAAAAATAAATGCAAAAATACAATGTTCACTACAATGGACATAAATGAATAGGTCGGGTTTCACAGGATATACTTTGTAATTGATTATTTGTAATCATTGCTTAATTACAATATGCTTTTTAAAACTTTCTTCTCCAAGCTAATTTGCGGTTGCTGAAGTGCATACTGCTTTTACCAAAGGGACTTCAAATTGATCCTTGTGCCCGGTGTGATATTTTTCCCACTGTGTCTGTCATCGATGTCTAGATTGCAGCGTGTGAGATATATAGATAATATATATATATATATATATATATATAATGTAGGCTATGCAAACCCCTTTCTGTTGGGGAAAAAAGTAAAAGATCATGACTTTGAGTGCCGTTATGCAGACGGGCATTGGCATTCGAAAGCCTGTCAGCAGTTTCTATTTTACACTAAATGTTTAATGCTTACCAGCTGCCTTGTAGACTATTTCTGAGACAAAAGCTTTCACCAGAAACCGGCCCATAGTGCCTTTTTAATACCAGATTGATGGTGTAAAAGAAAAAAGAAAAATGTCATTTGGAGGAAGGCGACGGCCGGTCTAAAGAAGGACGAGTGTTTCCCACCTGTGGTGGTTTACGAGATTTACGGTGCAACAGGCAGGCAGCTACAATGAGCCCTTAGTATGTCCTGATTGTCTGCCAAGTGATGAAAGCCGCCACATTGCCATACAGGCTCTGATTCTGCTCAGCACAAGTGCTTGTGCAAGATCTTGATGAGACAGATTTTTATTAAGGTTTTTTTTTTGCTGTGGAATTATGCTGATTGGAAGGGTCTGAATTGTAGGGTAATGGTGGCGTTTTATGGTGGGATGCATGATCATTGCGAAATCTATCTGTCTTTCAGGTGCTTATCCGGGTCAGTTTCTTGGTGGTTATCACGCCCGCTGTTAGGTCCGACCATGAGTATTTTAAGCCTGGCCCTGAGTATGTTACCCCCCATGCTAATCTTCCTTCAAAACAAAAAAAGTCAAGCCCTGGCTAAACTGGGGGGGGGGGTAAGCAATGTAGACAGCCAAGGCGTAGAATGTGCGGAGGCAGACCTGGCCTGCAAGCTGCTCTCTGCTTAAGATCAGGTCAATTGCCAAAGTTCATTCTTATTTATCTGCTGCGTTCACAGTATGAGTCTGAGGATCAGCCCCCACAGCCCCCCCACCTATCAAAGCTATCAGCTACTTGGCTGATTAGATCTTCACACTCTCTGGTGTTTCCAGCCCCATCTGTTGGGACACTATTACTTCTGTGGAAACAGGACACAAACTGAAGTCCTCGCCTCTGATCAGCAGCTTCCTTGTGCGACAGACCCCTATCATAACAGGGTCATGATATGACTAACATCTTTCGGGTCAGGTGTTGCTTTCAGTTCCTTATTCATGATGGTGTCCTCCAGTAATGAAAGACACACCCACTTAGTGATTAGAAATATTTCTGCTTAAATGTCCCCTGCAGCAGTAACACAGCACTCAGGCCCCTGCAGTAAGAGTGGCTGTGTGTCATCTCCATTTTTGAGTAGTGGTTTAGTGGTAGGAATGTGAGAATTGGGGCTTCTGGTCTGTGAACAAATTTTAGTGAAGACTTAACGCAGATGGAGGTTGGGCCCTGGTGGGATGATGGACTGAGCACAGTTAATGCAGATGGATATTTGGCCTTGGTGGGGTGATGTGCTGAACAGACTTAACACGGATAGACGTTGGGCAATACTGGGATGATGTGCCGAGCAGACTTAACACGGATGGAGGTGGGGCCATGCTGGGATGATGTGCCGAACAGACTTAACACGGATGGAGGTTGGACCATGCTGGGATGATGTGCCGAGCAGACTTAACACGGATGGAGGTTGGGCCATGCTGGGATGATGTGCCGAACAGACTTACCACGGATGGAGGTTGGGCCATGCTGGGATGATGTGCCGAACTGGTTCACACTGTGGCCCCTGCTGTACCAGCTTGTGCTGAGGTCCCTGGGTCACACGTCCTGTGTGTTGCACTAGAGAGCTGGGCCTGTTCGTTAGCTATTGCCAGATTTATGTCTTTGGCAGCTTATTGTTGTTCTTGGCACTTAGGCCTGTCAGCTATGCAGGGTTATCAAGAGGCTGCACAGAGGAGAGGAAGCTGAGTTATGCTTCCTGTTATTTTTATTAACTGTTTATTTCCTTCTCGTAGTACCTTATTGTTGCATTATTCATACCTCTGTCATTCATTGCAAAATTTGATGTTGAAATGTTTAAGCTGTAGAAAATATCTTCCTGACTCGTCTGGAATTCTAGCATTATTTGTTAACCTGAATGAAGAAAATCCGGTATTGTTTATGTAAACTAGGTGGCCTGACTGGTTAAAAGTTGGTCAGTGCCCCAACTGGCCAGTGCCCTCGTGGGCTTTTGTGTGTTTCCAGTGACCCTTTTCTCTGTAATGTACGATACATTTGCAGTACCTTCATTTTTGTTCCACTTTTTTCCTGATTCCTATGGGTCAGCTGCAGCTTTTTCCCGTTTCGTTGGTTCCATTAAGTACCTTAAATAACCATTTTTATGTTGTATGTGGAGTTGCACCGATGGTTAACAATAAGCTGATATCTATTGCCAATAATTCCCTTTTAAAATAGTGATCCTTATTGCTTTGCACACCTGCGTACTAAACAAAGAATGTCTGCTCTGTGAAATTATTTTAAGACATTAGAAATTCATTTTGCAAACATCGTTCTGCTAAAATTTCACGACGAGGATCTTCTAACATTATAACATTTCAACACAACAAATTTGTTCACCTTAAGGCGAGACAGTGAAGAGTGTTTCTGAGAAAACAAATCCATTCCGATAAAGAGGGCTTTAGCACTGAGCACTGAATAACGCTGGTCCGTAGCGTTAAACAAAGCTGCAATACTGCCGAATACCGTTTATCACACTTGATGATCAGCCCTTCTCTGTTTATAAATGTTAGAAATTTACAAGATTTATACAGTTATAAAGTATAGTGCTCTGAGACTGTTTTATGCCAGAGTTGGTGTTTTCTATTCCAAAAATATAAAAAAGTAATTGTAAAATAAATTTTCTTGGGTGGAGTGTCCCTTATTTAAGCAGAACCTCCCAATTAGTCAGTATCGGTGTCAGTTTTTTGTAATAATCTGCTTTCGGTATCTGCCAGAAATTTCCTTATCAGTGCATCACTGGTTGTGTGTCCTTGTGTGACTGCTGCCGTGAAGGCTGTCCTTCCTCCTGTCACATTATGAATCAGGTGGCACGATGAAGCCCTTGGCACCAGGAAAGCAGTTCAGTGCCTGAGTGCTTTGCCACTCCCTAAATTACCTCATTTATTTATTTATTTCCCCCCTCTGTGCAGCTGTCATGACTTTCATGTGTTCTTATGTAGCAAAGGCACCTGTTCTCATGTTATTTCTGGGCAAACCAGTTTGCTGAGTTTCCTGCATGACTTCAGGAAAGCTGCTGGCACCAGTTCTGTAGAATTATATAAAACGTAGTGGATGTGTGATTTTAGTAGAAGTGTTGGGTACTGAAAGATTCTGTTCCGTTTGAAATTTGCTGCAAGAAATGTAACAAGTATAGTAATTTTCCATTGTGGGTCTTATTGGAGGGACTTTATTATAATAAACTGAATGTATCTTTTACCTTAATGGCTATCAGAATAAATAATGAAAATGTGGGAACTGAACTTTCTGTGTGAAATTTGGTGTGGTGTTTTGACATCTGGTTCAGATGGCCTTCATTCTCTAAGCATCAGTTTGAGCTGTGTGTGGGTCCTCTAATTTTAATATTCACATAATTCCCGTCTCGCTAAACATTAACAAGCATGTCATTTCAAGCATTGGTTTCCTTTAGCTGGAAAAACCAGTTTCTCCCTTTCTTTCCATAAAGGGCGGCAGTTTCTCGAGGATGACGTAGCCATCGAGAAATTGATTGCATGTTAGGACAACTTTGTTCAAACATTTGAAAACCTTTGGATCTAATCTGCTTCTTTGTAACTTTCCTAACTAGCATGAGGAGTTAACTCATGGTTTTAATTAGGCTGATGTGTCAAACATGCAAGTGTTTCTAGCGTAACCTGAACAGCAGAGACTTACAGTGTTATGGAGGTCTGCAGTAATGACCTCCTTTTCTTTATGTACTTCATGGTCCTGTTATGCTTAGGGAACTGCTGAATTTCTTAAAATATGTGGGGGAAGGGGGGGAGGTACAATTTTCAGCTGACTTTTTAAAAGAAGACCTCATGGAACAGCTCTATCCATGTGTGCCTAATTCTTAATCCCAAACATACTGTGATTGCAACATTTTTCCCACTTTCCTGGATCTGTCTGAACAAGTATGTGTGACCAGTCCATGATACGACCTTGGTTCTGTTCTCTATCTAGATAAAACAGTTTCCTGGGGAAGGCATGATCCAGGGGAGGCTTCAGTAACACGTCTCTGCCATTCCCATTCTTACTGTAACTCATTGTGCTGTTTGCCCTCCTTTTTCCGGCAGGCTATGACTTTGCTGCGGTTCTGGAGTGGTTTGCAGAGCGGGTTGACCGCATCATATTGCTCTTCGATGCACACAAGCTGGACATCTCGGATGAGTTCTCTGAGGTGATCCGGGCCCTGAAGAACCACGAGGACAAGATGCGCGTGGTGCTCAACAAAGCGGACCAGATCGGGACCCAGCAGCTGATGAGGGTTTACGGCGCCCTCATGTGGTCTCTGGGGAAGATTATCAACACTCCGGAGGTAGTGCGTGTGTACATCGGCTCATTCTGGGCCCAGCCTCTGCTGGTTCCAGACAATCGCAAGCTCTTTGAAGCAGAGGAGCAGGACCTCTTCCGTGACATCCAGAGCCTTCCACGGAATGCTGCTCTGCGCAAGCTTAATGACCTCATCAAGCGCGCACGTCTTGCCAAGGTACGGCTCCAGTCACCATTTTGAATATCCATCCCAAGGACACTGTATCCTAGACCCAAACAAAACACATATTGCTAATTATGTACTCATATGTGACTTGCTCTTTCCTGTCTGAGCATAGTTCTACCAGCAATTAGTCAGTAAGGAGGTTATTATCTATCTAACCATTTTGAATATTTAAATGTATGCCAGTTTTTTCTGTGTGTGTTTAAACACATTTGTGGAACAGACCATAACAGACACATTGATTTTTTTTTTTCTTTTCAGGTTCATGCTTATATCATCTGCTCATTGAAGAAGGAGATGCCCAGTGTGTTTGGAAAGGACAACAAAAAGAAGGAGCTGATCAGTAATCTGGGAGAGATCTATGTCAAAATTGAGAAGGAGCATCAAATCTCTCCCGGGGACTTCCCAAAACTGAGCAAGATGCAGGTGAGTGGTCAAAAAAATATTTCCTACGGTGTCTGCATGTGTCTGAGGCTCACAGGTAAGCCCAGAGCCTGTACCCAGAGCCTGTACCCAGAGCCTGTACCCAGAGCCTGTACCCAGAGCCTGTACCCAGAGCCTGTACCCAGAGCCTGTTAAACTTGAA